GATTGGCAGTGGATGTTAGCTCAGGGCCAATCTTCCTCACCAAAAGAAATACATGTCATAAAATTCCTATATCATTCACATAAATGAATCTCCTAGCATTTCTAATGCTTTGGAGGGCAGATGTTAGAGAGAAAAGTCATGTACTGGAGGTATAAAATTAGTGATGGACATTAAGATGGAACATGGCTCCACTCAGTTTTCATACAGCTTGATCAGGAAAATAAACATTGGAGAAATATATCTGCAAGTTACCACCCAGTCATGTAGGCCACATAGATAACCAATAATAAAGACTACTGCAGAATCCTAAAGTTCATGTGGGTGCTTCATTCCCATCTCGTAGCATAAAAATGAAGATTTAGTTTGATTTGGGCACTTATTTGCTGACAGTCATTTACTATATTTGAGGGGATGCCATGCTAAGAAGACTGATCCACACGCCTCAAATAGCAGCCCAGAAAGAAAAACTTCTAAATACACCCTCCCACAAGGCATGGGCTGTTATGAATATTATTGTGCATTAGCATCACTTTGATAGAACTGCTGAGCCAGACCGCAGTTTTAAATGAAAACTAAAATCCTGGTCACTTTATTTCAGATGACACCATAGAGATTCCCAGGTAAGCTCACCCCAGAGAAATTTTTCAAGAAATATTTGGCTATGCAAATTACCTGCTGCAGTGGATTTGCATGCAAGGGCTTGTGGGAGGATTATGTGAGTTTGGAACAAAAATGACAAGTCCAGCTTGGGGCTGAGGGTCTGAAGCATGGTTGAGGGTTATTGGCTGCCCTCTTAGGCCCTATAAAATATACAGAATGTTGAGCAAGGAAATCTCAGTCTTCAAAGCCAAACTTTTTGCATTCCCATGACGTTTCCCCTAACCTCCCTCCTCCCCTCCGTGGAGCTCCACAGCCTTCCAGCACATCGCCTTTTTGCACAGTCAGGTGGATAGAATAAGTTTGTCATCATCTTCAGCTCATAGTAGCTGTGAACCGGTTTAGGGATTGAGAGAGGGGTTGGGGCATTTATGTTCTTCCGCAATGATGGCTGTTGCTAATTCTGCTGTGAAATATGTGGAGCATCTGGAGAGGGAATTCAGTAAAGTGTGGCCAAAATAGCACTCACTTTATGCCCTAGCTTCTGGCACAGTTTAAGACAGCACTGAGACAGATCATATGACCCCAGCCCTTGTAAGACCTCATCACTTTTCATGGGAGAACTGAAAAGTGCTGATCCTGGAGTGTTTATGCTGATGGAACACAGATAAAAATCTGCAGGTGTAACTTTTTAAAAATTTAGTACATGAAGCATAAAAAATATATCAGTACCACTACATCATCTAGACCCAACTTTAACACCGTGTGGTAGATATAAAAACACCCATCAGACACTTTCAGTGTGCAAGAATTCACATATGGAGCTATGCCATAACAACAACAAAAAAAAGGTTAAAAATGTTCCTTTTGTAATTTTTTAAGGATGTCAAATAAGGTATTTACTTATTACAACTGGAAGAGGACAGCTCTTTTCAATATAAAGATATCAAATATTATTGACACATATTGTCATCATCTAATTTTTCATTGGGTGAGAGCTTGTTCTATAGAATGCTTGAAGAAGTGTTGAGAGAGAGAAAAAAGAAAATAGTAAAGAAGATGGATAATTTTGTAAGAACTAGGGGTGGAAATAGCTAAGCTGTAGATCAGCGGAGAAAGAGGAAAATATGAAATCCTAGCTGGAGGATGACCTTCTGGAAGCGCACTGAGGTTGGGTCCCAATTTCCTCACCTATAAAGTAAACTGAACTAGATTTTGAGTCCAATTCAAAGCTCGTCCCTAAGAACTCAATCAAAAAAATGATGGTTGGGCCTTGCAAAAATAGTATGCTTGGAAGGCACACAAATTCATTTTTCCTAACTTAGGAGGGTTTAAAGTGAGTCATAGATATATAATGAAGTTGTTTTGGAAAATAATGGGTACATTTACCTGGTTCCTGAGTCCTAAAGAAATTCAAAGCACTTTACTAAATGTATGCCATTCTATAGTGAGTGAAAACATTAAGGTAATTTCTTATCTAGAAAAGGAGATAGAAACAACATTAACTCAGAGGAGGAGAGGGTCTACAGGTAAAAACCTCACTCAGGTGTTTGGCATCATCTGCCACCAAATTTAGATTCTCAAATCTAAATCCTCAGCTCCTTCCAACTGCCTCTTCAAACTTAAGATGTCCAAAATTCATACCATCGCCAACCCGTCCTCACCACACCAACTGCTTTTTCTGCCCTCAGTTCTATTGCTCCATGAGTGGGACAACCAGTACTTGAGGTGGAAACACTGGAGTCATTCCATGAACCTCCTTTTCCTGCTTTCTCCTACATCCTCAGTCAAGGGGTCCCACAAATTTTATGCCTAAATAACCTGCCCTATCATCTTCCTCCTCCAGTTCTATTGCCTTAATTTAGGCCCTCTTTCTGCCTTCTCTGGATTACTGCACTTGCTAACTTCCTAACACCATAAGTCAAATAACACCCATCTCTCTTAATAAACTATCTTCACTGCTGCCAGGGAAATCTTGCTGAGAGAAAACCTGCTATATTACTCTCAGCATTAAATCTTTCAATGGATCCCTATTATCCTTTGGAATCAAATCCAAATTTCTTAGGATGGCATGAAGGACACTTCGTCATCTGACCTCTGCCTTCCTATTTAGCCTCATCTTCTTCTACAGCCCTACATTCACCCATATTCCTGGTCCACTGCTTTGAGCTAAAGGAAACACAGACCATTCCTCTGCCTCCCTCCACCTACTTCCTTTGGCCCATTCACTGAACCGGGCTTTGACAATGAGTATGGAAAAAACGTAGAACTCACAGACCAAAGATTCCTGGCCTTAGTTTTAAGATACCATGTTTTTAGATTCCTTGAAAATATATCTTTCGCATAAGCTTGACTCTTACAAACCAAAAACCCTTTGAGTTTTCAGACTATTTTCTCTATTATGGGCTCTGAAAAACTCGTTTTGAAACTCTGAGCCGAGTTTCTTTGTGAAAGGCCGGCTCTGCCTTTTTTGAAGCCATGAATGACATGAATTCTTTGCATGGAAAGCTATCTATGGGCCAACTAGGAAACACTAGGAGCTACCAGAAATTAAAGAAGACATAAGGTAGTATATTAGGATTATTTTTTCTACTCTAGGATCTTATCAGGAAAACAACAGGCTCTGGTCTAGGGTATCTGACTCCCTAGGGAACCACTGAATCATTTCAAAACAATGAAAACCAATCCCTCGAAATCCTAGTGACTGAAGGTCTGTGAAGAAACTCTTCTAGTAACCACCAACTTGTACTCCACAAAGAAATAATATTTATGGTGGATTTAGAATTTATAAAAGATAATGTCCCAGCCTAACATGGAATTTATAGCACACATCCATTTGTCTGCTGACACTTAAAGAATTAAAAGAATGTATCTCTTCACGTGGCATTGGCGGAGACTGGTGTTTGGGTGTCCCCTAAAGGGAAGCACGGCCGAATATATAGAGGAGAGAATTTCACTTCTCTCTTCAGGAGCAGTGGTGAGAATATCTTTGCTTCTGTAACTCCAGGGGAAGCTTTATTACATCCAGAGGAGACAGAATGAAAGAATCAGGAGGATGGTATTGAAGCAATCAAAGCCAAATAAGACAAAGCAATGAAGTGTTTGTGGGGGCCTTTACTAATCTCTTGTACATGCCTAGTTCAGTCCTGAAGAAAAGTAAGAAAAAAATGGAATTTTACAAGTAACAAAATTAGCGCCTAAAAGAACCATGTAATTTGTGTTTAAAAAAAGTCACTTCTAGAAACAACTCTCTTATCTTCAAATCCAGTCTGAGTTGATTCAAATTCAATTATTTCCTCAATCGCTATCACATATGTATACTCAACTGAGATGTTAATAGTGTTTTCTGTTGTTTGATCCCTGATTCAAACCATGAAAAATGGTTTTATCTCTATTATTACCAAATGACATGAAATTTCTTAAGTAGTTGTTTAAGAAGCAAACATCCTACAAACATGTTTTTCCAACTGTCAAGACAAATGTAAATCAACTTTTTTATTCTGCAGCTTGAAAATTTCCTAACAGATTATTAATTTTACCTGAATTTCCTGAAGCAAATCGTATGTGGTAAGTTATTCAGAAAGCATATGTAAGAAAAAAAAAAGTGCTTCCATTAAGATCTCGGCTATCATCAGTGATATTGCTTTAACCTCAAAGGATATTCATTTCTTTATTAGGGTTGGTTCCTTGGTTGAATCACAGAAGCAGGCAAAGGATCTTCCCTTCTTTAGATAATTCCTTTGTGATGGTTCGGCTCAGCTATGTGCCCTAAACTTAAGCAGGCCAACCAGAAGTCAAGATTGTTCTTTCCTGCATTACAATTCAGACAGTGGATCCCGAGAAGTTTCCACGCGTTATTTATTTCTCCAACAGTTTCAAGTACCACAATCTGCCCTTACTCCACCCCTTCCCAATCTATGAGTTCTCTAAAAAGTATTGTCAGCCTAACATTTATTAAAAATATTCTTAATTCTAGAGTACACACAGAATTTTCTCAAGAGGCATATTACTCTATATCCTTAGTTTAATATCTGCCAAAAAAACCCTAATATGGTTGCAGATTTACAAATATCTTATTTAGAGTCCTGGATATGAGCTCTTTGGGGAACTTTGATTTCTAGGAAGTTCCCAAGTACAACTTACTAGTATAGTATCATCACTACTAATAATAGCTTACATTTATTAAGTACTTATTGATGCAAAGCTGTATCTTATTTAATCCTTATAGCAGTCCTGTAAAGTAGATACTGTTACTATCCCTTATTTTACAGATAAAAATAAGCTTCCAGGGTGCTGCTTAGTACATTATTCCCAAGACTGTAAGTACCCATTAGCAAGTCATCGTGTCTCCAGAAAACCGAAACTGAAATAGGTCCTCCAGAGTGGCAGAGTTCTACCACGCACATGGCTTTTAAATAGTGCAGCATTTTCCCTCATGGTCCCCAATCCTGTGTAGATCTAATGTTTCAGAAAATGTGATCCCTCTTAAAGATAAAGTCTTCCTCCCATGGATATCAACGTTCACTTTCTCTGTGAAATGCTTTACCTTAGAGAGTAAACACTGTATTTGATGAACATGCCAGTCAATGCTCAATATTGAATACTGTTGATGCGTATCAAACAACTATGGTTGTTGTTGATTATGATGATAAAAGAACAGAGCCTAAGACTAACAATTGTAAGACTAACAATATTTTTAGCATTTCATGTCATTTATATCAAGCTTTTGTTGTAAATATCAATTAGCCATCATTATAGATAACTTCAATTTATCTACAAAAGAATTTATTCTTATTTTCAACATACCCTTAAGATTCTCCATACTGACAAGAAGTCACAATCAGATGTGGAACAATTTTCTTTGTATTCCACCATTCATTTATACCTTTACTGTGGGCCTGGCCTGTGTGTCATCTGATAAGTCTTCTCCCTGACTATGGGAGTCTTTCATCAAATGGCTTGTTTCACAAACTGGACATTAACCAGCTTATATTAGTATGTAAAGGAGTAACCAGGGACCCAACGTTTGCTTGATCTTGTTTTGCCTCTCTTGAAAGTTCAAATCATGCAATTATAGCACATCAGAGCTGGAGGGAAACTTCAGGATGATCTCCAGTTCCCACATGTTATAGAGAAAATAGAACTCCAGAGAGATCAAATGACTTATCTGTGGACATACATGATTAGTGGTTCTGATTCATAGTTTTTGTCCTGTGTCACTTTTTCACACAATTTCATGACTCATACCCTAAAAAGAGAAAAATAAAATGTTGGTTGAGTTGAGTAAATACAACACATGGAGAGAGGCATCCTGCTAATACATCTGTGAAAGTCAAGGTAACAAGAAACCATTATAAAAGTAACTCCCACTTATTCATTGACTCCAGACACTGTGCTGGGCATCTTACATCAGTTATCTCTTTCAAAACACACTGTAACTCTGCAAAGTTTTACATACAAGGATACAGAAGCCGGGAGAACTTAGCTAACTTGTCTGACGTCAGAACTAGTAAATGGCCAGTCTGAATTTTAAACCCAAATTTCTCTGACTCCAAGCTGGGTTCCTTTTAGTATAACATGTTGTTGGCATTTGTGAAAACGAAAGTGATTTATTGTTTTACAATAGAGTGATATGTTGGAAGAGAGTGTTGGAAACTGAATACGTGGCACTCCTTTTCAATCCTCGAAGAGACTGCAGAGCGAAAAGTAGACTGGATGAGTGTTGCCTCGCTTCCAGTGTGAACATTCTGTACTTTTCATTAGAGCTGTTTGATATTTTGGGCCTATTGATCAAGTGATTTTTCTAACTACGTACTTTATTTTGTTCATTGTTTCAGTGTCTGGCTGTAACTCATTTCGGCAAAATGACATGCCTCTTCCCTGCGAAAGAGTACAGTAATGTGACATGACTCATCAGAAAAGTAACATGACTCATCAGAAACAAATGCTCATGACCAGTGATTTAGGTAGCTAATAAAGGCAAGAACATTGTATTATTCATGTCTGGATAATATTCGTGGATAATTCAGTATGCCCAAACCCTTAAGGATGAGGTTTCTAAGGCAAATACACTGTTTCTGTGGACTTTGCTAAATCAAACCAGATGTGCTGCAAGATATACTTTTATCAAAAGCTTTACTTTATAAATAGGCCCACCAGGCAGACCCATTTTCAGATCTTAAAGCAGAAGTCTGACTGTATCCTGTACCCTGTCTTGAGTATTATAAGAAACAATCTGTTTCAGACTACTGAAGTTCCCCATCAGACTTCTCACTTTGAACTAAGATTTTTTAAAGCCCTTACCCTCAATGCACTCCTCAAACCAAGGGTGGAAAGACAGAAAATCTAAAAGTAGACAGATGGGGCCAGCCCAGTGGCCTAAGCGGTTAAGTGCATGTGCTCCACTGCAGCGGCCCGGGGTTCGCCAGTTCAGATCCCGGGTGCGCACCAACGCACCGCTTGGCAAGCCATGCTGTGGTGGCGTCCCATATAAAGTGGAGGAAGATGGGCACAGATGTTAGCCCAGGGCCAGTCTTCCTCAGCAATAAAAGAGGTGGATTGGCAGGTTAGCACACGGCTGATCTTCCTCACAAAAAATAAATAAATAAAAGTAGACAGAAATCACTGGTCTAGTTCTTGTTTTACTGGGCTGCAAAATAATATGTATTTCAATAAAACAACGATCAGTTACCACAAAGATGCATATTAATGGAGATCCCTTACTTGTATATATATATATATTTTTTTTGGTTAGGAACATTGTCCCTGAGCTAACATCTGTGCTAATCTTCCCCTACTTTATATATGGGATGCCACCACAGCATGGCTTGACGAGCGGTGTGTAGATCCACGCCTGGGATCTGAACCTGCAAACCCCGGGCCACCGAAGTGAAGTGTGTGAACTTAACTACTATGCCACCAGGCCAGTTTACTTGCATTTTTTTTTTTTATAGTTCCCTACAGTTTAAATAGCTTCTAACTTATTAAATTACCAAAGAACCTGTGTACTTCATTTCTTTTATTTGGATTTTTCCATTCATTTCTCAAAAATGCAGAAAAGCTGATGGAACCGTCTATACAAAATGGGAGGCAATAAATATAGTGGTCAAAAGCAAGGTTTTAGACTAAGGCAGACTTTGGTTCAAATACTTGCTTCACCATTTACTAGTTGTGGGATTCTGGGAAAGTTACTCAACCTCTTCAAGCGTCGGGCATCTCATCTGTAAAATCCTACTTTTTAGGATTGCTGTGACGCTTAAATAAGATAATGTGTGTATAGAGGCTTGCACATAATAATTGCTCAATAAATGTAATTTATTCATAGGAGTAACAATGAGTGTATAATAAACTTGGAAGTGTTCTAGAAAACCACAGATCCCCAAAGATCTCATATACAGGAGTATAAATAAGATATTTATACATTTTCAACTGCGTTAGGGATCCTTGAAGGACACAAAATTAAAGAAGACCAATTTCCCCATTACGAAGATTCCGTGGTACACTGGAATTAAGAAAATTCATAATGATTACTTTCTGCTGATTGGTTTTTTGATTCATCATTTTTGATGATTATAAGGCAAAACATACAATGTATTAAATTTAAACTGCCATCAGTAGCTGTATTTATAGCACAAATTGTATAACACTGTTTTTGTGAGTTTAGATGTCTGTCTTTCTACACAGACTGTTAGTTGCCACAGCTAGCAACCTGATTTTACTTTCTATTTGCAGCACTTTTCATGGAATCTGGCACTTAGTAAATATTACATAAAAATTGAAAAAATAAATGAATGGATACATTATTTCCCCCTTTTCTAGAAAAGAGTTAAAAAGTAACAGTGCTTGTTACCTGATGAGTAATGTACTTTGAATTTCTTATCAGAAAATTGTATTGTGTTTAAACACAGGCATTGAGAAAGTTTTTGTGGTATTTAGAGTCAGAAAGGGTCTTTTTAAAAACAATATTTATTACGAGCCAGCCCTGATGGCCTAGTGGTTAAAATTTGGCGCTCTCACTGCTTTGGCGACCCAGGTTCATTTCCCAGTCACGGATCCGCAGCACCCATCTGTCAGTTGTCCTGCTGTGGTAGTGGCTCATATAGAAGAACTAGAAGGACTTACAACTAGAATATACAACTATGTACCGGGGCTTTGGGGAGGGGAAAAAAAAGAAGAAGATTGGCAGCAGATATTAGCTCAGGGCAAATCTTTCCCTGCAAAAAAAAAAAAAAAAAAACAAGCCCAAAACACAATATTTATTAACCTTTTTCCTCATATTAAGAGTTTTTTTCTTACCTTTATTATAATAATTCATTTTCGTCATACTTATTCTGTGGTGTGTGTGTGTTTGTGCGTATGTGTGTGTGTGACAAAAGCAGGAGGGTTTGAATTTGCCTCCTTCCTAATTTCGTAGGGTCACTGTCTGGCTCCGTTAACTAAGACATGAATGTACACATATGTACACATTTCTTGCTAACGCTTTCTTGTAGCTCTGCTTCACAGAATGGAAACCCAATGGGAAATAAAACACAATCAGAGAAATCTATATTCTAAGTCAGGCTAGTTTCTGTTTGAAATAAAGTGTGAATTAAAAAAAAAAATTTGTCATTTACTAAATTTCTCAATCCCCAAATTGCCCATCTGTGGATGTCCTTTGTCATCAGCCCTTTTGGCAGCCTTAGGTAGCCTGAGCACTACACAGTGCATAATTAGAAATTCTTCAAATAAACAAGGAACACGACAATTAGCTGTAGTTTACATGGGCTAGAAAAGAAAAACCCTAAAAAGATAAAAAAATATTTTTAGGACATCAACAAATCAAACTGATTTAAAAGTAACTATTTACTTGATTGACACAAAGGGGAATGCACATTTGTTCCCGGCCTAGCACTGTGTATACCTCCTAATAAGCCCTCAATGAATGTTTGTTGAACTGAGTAGATGTAGCCAAGGTGAGTCAGTTTCACCATTGGCCATATGGTGACTATTGAGTCATTTGACCCTGCAAAATAGGGTCAATTGTATAGTAATCCCATTCAGAATTTGATTTTTAAAAAATCAACTAGTTGGCTCAATATCTTGTATAAAACATCCATAAGAACCCATTTATGAGAATTAACAAACCAAAAGAAGTTTTTCTGCCATAGTCAATGGAAACACATTGTGTGTGAGCAATCCAGGGAAAGAAGGCGAGAGTAAAACAAAGCTGAAGGTGATACCAACTTCTATCCATGGAAATAGATTCACAATGTTGATTCAAGGAGCATAAACATTGGCATTCAGAATAAATTCAAAAATTTTAGCTTTGGGAAAAAATATTTCTATCAATGCCAAGTAGATCTTTGCTGTCGCGAAATGGGACACACTATGCTGAGGAGTGAGCTAAATGGTCTCATAGTCTGATTATCTGTAGCTCTTTTCCAACATTTGTAACTATAAAATGTAATTTTTTGCTCTGATCTTCTCTAAACCCTGTCTTAGGAGATAAATAAATTCAGCAAACTACCTCAAATTATGATAACAGAAATGATAAATGCAGCCTCCCTCTAAACATTCTCTCTGGCAATCGTTACAGCTAGAAATGTAACAAGAAGAGCTCTCGCTGCAAAGTAAATTTGGAAGATAAGCTTAAAGTCTGTCCTGGAGATAGAACGTATCAAATATGGCACTCTAAAGCAACAATGTGGGCACAGTTGGAAAGATGCCTAGACGATGAGCTGAACTAAGAAGTGTGTTCACTCTCCTGCACAGTGCATCACCTCTGGGAACTGGCTTTGCTGGTGTTGTGATGCTACAGCACATTTCTTATATAGTACATTTCTTAGAGATTTTTACAAATGGCATTTTGGTTTCCGATCCCACAATACAAAAAGAATGGCTGAGTGATGCTGCTACTGATGAAAAAAGAAAATAATAAGTAGCTTTCCTCTTGCCCCCATGAATTCTGAGTCAAGTAAGACAAGAGTCAGCAGACAAAAGCAAAATATCCCTTTTGTTACTGAGAAGGGTAAGTTGGGCAATATAACATATACAGCATATTGAGCCAAATCGACCTGCTAACTGAACGAGAGAATCGGGCTGACTTACCTGCCCCACCTCAGGCAGGGCTGGAGGGTGACAGCCCCACCCCTCCCCACCACCCCTCACATAATGGGGAAAGCACCTGCCCCACTGGAGCTGAGGAGAATGCCTGCTCCCCAGGAGCAGGTTGCTCCCAAGATGGAGAATGCAGAAGCCAAATCGAGCATCCTCAGTTTATTGTTTCCAATTTTACCGGGAGTTACTCCACCTCCTTGAAAGTGAGTAAAAGCATGGAGAAGAATGGGAGTTAGTTACACTATTGTGTGTCACCAACAACGAATGCAACATTAGGACTGGGAAGAAGCATTCCTTTCTTAACAGTATAAATTGGTGCAAAACTATTGATAATTTCTTTTCAGCCCAGCTCAACAAAGATTTGCAATGGTTAAACTTAGACTTTATTCCCAACATGAATATTTTCTTCTGTCTACTCCCAAAATCCATACACTATTAACCTATAGGTGACATAAACACTTTATTCTGGAATGCGTTAATATTTTTATTCTGCTCTCTGTGATTCTTTTACATACCTCATATATTCTGATTTATATTGCATACTTCTAGTTTCCAAGAGCATGTCAGTATAATTATGTAGTATGGTATTTGGCATAGTGCTACATGCAATTAGATCATGTACGTGTGTTCTGACCAAATTCAGTTCCCCCATATTCACCGTCGTTCCCCAGGACCTATAATTTCTCCATCTCTTTGCTTATTGACAATTTGAAAATCTAGTTTTGAGGCCATGGGAAGTAAAGAGGGTTGCAGCTAGACCAAAGCTATAGCTAGAACAAGAAACACTGTCTTTGCTATCAGCACAAAGGGTTAGCAAGCATAGGTCATTGTGTAGTGTTAGCCATTGAGTTGTGGGTTAATCTAGTGTATATTCACTATCCTTCTACTTATTTGGGAGTATTCACTCAAATACAAGTATAAAAAATGTGAGAATGTTGAAAGGGTTGGGAGAAGAAAATAATTATGATAGAAATAGAAATGAAACTAAAAGGTACCAAGATGCTATGGCCTAGTCAATTGAAATGTGTCACATCAGATTTGCCAACAAACGGAATCAGGAAAAGGCTTTCACAATCTAAACTATTTGTAAGTAGAAGTGCTTCTTTAGCACATCAAGTAAGTTTTATGGTGTAATTCAGGCAGTCAAGTTATTTGTTACTGTGTTTCGAAATATGTCACATCAGGCAGAATTGGATCTTATTTGCATTTTACATGATAACGCCTAGAATTTTTATTCTTATTTTTATACTCAAGGCATATAACTTTCCTGCTGAAAATCAGACAAGGATTTTCTACTTTCAGAAGTTTGGCACACCAGATAGTCTAGGGGACCTTCCTGCTGCAAAAGATACTTGTTGTACTGCTGGGCTTAGAGGAAGAAGGGAAAATCTCCAAGCCTCTCCCCCAAACCCTACTTCAAAAGAATGGGCACAAACCATGGAGACAAACCATGAAGACTGACTGCTGGGAACAGTGAGCTGGCCAGAGGACCAGCACTATCCTGACAGCGATGCCAATGGCAGCCCTACAGCCTATGGATAAGACACAATGTTTTGGGTCAATAGTAAAGCATAGGCTTAGAACCGGACAACTTCTCAAGACAGAATCCATAAAGGCAGCTAAAAGGATTGTAGATTGATGGCCCCATCTACTCACAGCACAGGCAAACATATATTGCATCTGAAGGAAAGCACCTCTAATTTAATCCTGCAGAATCTCCACAGATAAAGACTGTACAACTTGGAGTTCACAAAGATCATCAAGCACAAAAGAGAACAAGCCTCTACTGGGGAGAGAAAAGAAAAAATTAGGAAAATTAAAAAACCACAGATTTAGATCCCCATGGCCTTCATACATTTGAATCATCATAAACAGAATATTGAGTAGTTATGTATGAAATACATGAAGAACTGAAGGATGGAATCATGAAACAATAGGCAAGCTCCAGGTGATCACCAGGAATGACTGTATAATCTGAGAAAAGAACAAAGTGGATGTCCAGAAGTGAAAATATAGTTGTTAAGAAAACCCTCAATGAATGGATTAAACGGCAAATTAAATACAATTAGAGAGTAAATAGTCCCCTAAAAGATATATCTGAAACAGTAAGAATGCAGCAGAAACTAACAAGAAGATATGAAACATGAAATAGAAATTAAGAGAGATAGATGCTAATGTGAGTTCTAACATATAATTAGTCAGAGTCCCAAAAGGAGATCATAAAGGTAACTTGAAGTCATAATTACTGAGATTTTTTCATAACTGATGAAAAATACAAACCCACATTGAGGAAGTTTAACATTTCTCAATCAGGATAAGTAAAAAGAAATCCATACCTAGACATAACACAGTGACACTGAAGAACACCAAAGACAAAGACTGCTTTTGAAAAGTAGCTGGAGAGAAAAGGAAGGTCACCTACAAAAGACTGACAATTAGACTGACAACACACCTCTCAACAGCCACAAAAGAAGCCAAAAGATATTGTTATAATAATTTCAAAGTGCTGATAGAAAATGACTATCAACTTAGAATTGAGTATCCGGAAAAACTCTTTCAAACATGAGTGCAAAATAAAGAGATTTTATTCTATAATGAAAACATTTTATTTTATAATTAAATGAAACTATTTCCCATCAATAAGCCTGTGCCAATGGAAATTTTAAGGATGCATTCCAAGAAGAAAGAAATGATTTACCAAAGGGTCATCTGACACGCAAAAAGAAATGTTGAGTATATAAAATAGTAACCAAAAGATGTAAATTTAAGCAAACATTGTCTGGATAAAATAATAATAATTAGGTTTAATTTGTGCAGATGAATTAAGAGCAGAACTAAAATATTGTACCATGTGGACATTAATAAAAGAAACCTTAACTAAATTGGAATTGGGAAGGCCTGTAGGGAGAGTTCTCATGCCTGACACACATTGTCAATTACACCAAACAGGAAGAGATGGAGGCTTGCATCTTGGACAGGAAGTAAAACTACTTTACTGCTGAAGGAAGATTTCTCTCCTCACCTGGCAACAGCCCAGCCAATGAGAAATGCTGCAGCTCAGCCAATGAGAAGCCGTTGTCACACTGAAATGCTACTTTCCCCCAATGGACTTTCATTTAGAACAGCTCCTCCCTCCTCCCCCTTTTTCTCTATAAAGGCAGCTCCCCCCATTCGTTTTCTGGATTTGCCTATGGTTTGCCATTGCGTACACATTCTGAATTGCAATTATTTTGCTATTCCTGAGTAAACTCATTTTGCAATAAAATAAGAGGCAAATTTGCCTTTTAAATTGATAACTGCAATAGTCATAATTCAAAAGAAGAGTTTGGAACTAAGAGTTCTAAGGTTCTTGTATGGGGCAAGAAAGTATGCATATGTATAGGATAAACAAAAATAAACAAAAAAAAAGAAAAAATAATAAACCAAAAATATCAATAAATCAAACATTTTAAGAAAGAAGAAAAAAATGAAGAAACATAGAAAACAGAGGTGTAAATAGAAATCAGAGAATAAATGGTAGAAAAATTCCAATTACATCCAACTATATGGTTTATCTTAGTCAATTTAAAGAGATTGAACTCATTAATTATGTTATTAGAGTAGGCAAAAATATCCTGTATATGGTGTTTACAAGGGACACGCTAAAAATAAAAGAACATAAAAAAGAATAAAAGGAAAAAGAAGGAAAAATTTATCATTTAAACCAGAAAGAAGCAGTTTTAACTATATCATTGTTATACAAAATAGACTGATACAAAACGTATTATTAATGATGACTACTTATTTACAAAAGGTTTAGTTCACCGGGGATGCATATAGTTTTAAACTTGTATATCCGTGTTAAAATAATCTAAAAGTATGCAAAGTAAAAATTGATAGAACTTGGATAAATTTTAAAATCTCCATTACTTTGAGAGATTTCACCATCTTTCTCTCAGTATTGATAGGAGAAGCAGAAAAAAATAATAATGAAGATAAACACTGTGTAAAATAATTTAGGTAAATCATATCATCAGTATATTAAAAGAATATGTTATGGTCAAATAAGTTTATTCTAAGAATGCAAGGATGGCTCAATAGATAACAAAAGGTGGCTCAATTATTGGTGAAAGGAGATTTAATGAAACTCACTATATATTTATGATTTTTAAAAATGACTTAGATTAGAAAAATACAGATATTTCCTTAAGTGGAAATATTTATTTCAAACTAAGAGGCAAAATGATACTTTATGATGAGACATCAAAGTGCGTAACAGACTATACTCTATAGTCAGTCTTCCTCAGGTTCAAAAGTAGCTTTGTCACTTGCTAACTACTTCATCTTGGGCAAGTCAACTTATAAAACCGTTTGTTCACCTATGAAATGGGGACAATAATTGAACCTACCTCAAAGGGTTGTTTTGATAATTACATGAAATAATCTGTACCAGACAAAAAGTAAGAGCCAAACAAATGGTAGCTAGTATTCCTGGAAGCATGCTTATGAGTTAGAATAAAGGCAGGAATGCAAACTGTGACCATTATTACTTGACATTGTACTGGAAGTTCCAGCCAACAAAAGATAAGGCAAGAATTGAAAAAAAACTAAGAAAAAAGATGCAAAAATACTAAAAATAAACCATTATATGCAGACAATATGCACAGTTATTGACTTGGAAAATTCAGAAAACCCAACCACAGACAATTAGAACTAATAAGAAGATTTGGTAAATTTATTAAGATGGCTACTAGCAAAGTATACATACTTATGAGTGAGAAAATAAAAAGAAAAAAGTCACCATTCAAAATATCAACTAAAAATATGCACCCAGGAATGAACTTGATAAGAAATGGGTTCAATCTATATGCTTTTTCCCGCATATATAGGGTACAAGACTATATTGAGGGACATGAAAAAAGATTTTTATGGAGAGAAATCCCGGGTAACCAAAAAGTGTAAAAATAACTCTGTGCTGCATTAATTTATAATGAGGAAAGGGAAACCTCTATAATGACTTTAAAATTCATCCAGAAGAATTTATTTTTCCAATAATAACAGGGAAAAAATTTAAAGATAGTAAAAATGCATTACAATACTAATTAATTAATATAGAGATACAACTGACATAAAGACAAACAGAAATGACACAAAAGAAAAAGTCCAGAAACATAGTCCAGTATTGGTGGTTTTTAAAATCAGTGGGGAAAATATCTGAATTATTCTTTAAATGGTTCTGGGACAATTGATTAATTACTTGGACAAAAAAAAAGAAGAGTATCTTCAACTCACACTACATAGCAACGCAAAATAATAATAGGTTGAATAATTAAATAAATATAAGAAATGAAATCATCTGCTTTGAAAGGCATTTCTAACATAAAAATATAAAAAGCAATAAGGCAAAAAATTGATTGATTACATTATGCCAAATCTTGAGACATGATATTAAAGGATTCATGAAAATTAGAGAAAACATTTACAACATATGTGACAGAATTTATATTATTAATACAAAGAGAGAATTCTTACAAATCAATGATAGCAAATATCTCAATAGAGAGTGTTCAAAAGTTATTTTAAAAAGTAATTTACAAAAAGACAAATATAAATGATCAATAAACATTGATCATTTCAATTGATTTCATTGAATTCATTCAATTGATCATTTCATTGATTTCAACGAAATCAATGAAATGCCATTTTTTCCTCACAAGAAATAGATAAGTATATATATACACTCATAAATTTAATGATAGTACCCATGGTTTGTGACGAATTGGGTTGTGAGTGGATGTGGAGAAGTAGCACTCTCAAAGACAGTTGGAGTTTGAGATATGAATGAAGAAATTAAAAAAAAGTGAAATAAAACTATT